AGACAGTTCACCTTTGGCGACCTTAGTCAAAGCAGCAAGGAGTTTCGTGTCTAAGGTCCGAAACTTGCCTGGGTCAGCCAGCTCGGAACAAAGCTTAGCTTTGTCCTCCCGAACGGCGTACACCTCAAGCACCCATGCAAACGCAGCATCTGGGTCATCGGACGCGGACCGTATCGCTTCGCGAACAGCGGCCCTCCAAGTGCGGTACCTGTCAGGACTTGGGAATTCGGTGAGATCTATCTTATCAGCCTCTTTTGCCTTGGGTTTATCTGAGTCTTTGTTCTTTGCGCCCTTAAACCCCTCTAGCAAGGCTCTCTTGATTATTTCCCCCAAATCTTGATCTTGTGGAGTTCTTACCTGAGATGCCGGCCCTTCATCCTTGCGATCATCCCTTTTGTAAGTTGCTTCCTGATTAAAGGAGCTTTTGTACAATGGGTCATCGCTGAAGTTGTATTGCGCCGACTTCATCTTGTAATCCATCCATGGATCAGGTTGTTTAAACTGTTGTCTGTCGGTGGAGGCAGTAGCCTTTTCCGCTGCTTGCGCCCCTGTCCCAGAGAACATTGAGGGAAATCCTGTGTTGCGACTTGTTGCTGAAGTATCCATAGCTGTCTTCAGAGGAATCCCAGTTGGGTCTGAGGGCGAACCTTCTAGGGTTGCAGGGACTGTGCCTTCCGTACGAAGAGGTTCGAATGAACGAGGTTGACCAACGGGATGAACATTTGGTGGAACAGGAGGTGGAGGTTGCTCTGGTCGCAGCGGCCCCGGTTTAGCTGGGCTAGCGGCTTGAGCCTTGCGCTCGATTTCCTTGCGCTCCTCTTCCTTGTCCAACAAGGCCTGTGCAACACGTCTGAGTTCATCCATCTCACCCTTCAACAAAGCATTGTCCTTGCGGAGTTCAATGATTGTTTGCTCTTGGGTTTCCCTGTCAACTGCATGTTGTGACTTAGTCGACTCCATTTCACCAAGGAGCGTTTTGATCTTTGCCTGTGCAATTGCCAACGAACTGGTCAGTTCTTCTCGCTTGAAGTCAAGGTCTATAGCAACACGGGCTTCTTCAGCGGAGGTAGATCGAGCTTTGTCTGTTGCCTCCAAAGCTGCCTTTAGCCTAGCTTCTTGCTGCTCTGTATACTGACGGTGTTCAGTTCTCATCCTGTCGACAAATGCATTGCCTTCCTCTGCCAAGGCATTCTTTTCTTGTAAAACCTTCTCATGAGCTGTTGTTGCCTGAGCTAACCGCTGCTGAAAATGCTCTCGTTGCTCCTCCAACGTGCCTTGCAACCTTTTGATCGCAACGTTGTCGTGATGCTGAGCCAACTGCTGAACATTATGTTCTTGCTGTTGAGCTCTCTGTTGCAAATTCAGCATTGCTTGCTCTGCTGCGGCTTTTGTTGCTGCTATCCATTCAGAAGCTTCCCTCTCATAGATATGCCTGAAACGCAATGCTTCGAGCTCAGCTTCACGCCTAGCTTGCTCGCTAAGCAACAACTCATGTTGCTGTAGTTCCCGTCGTAGTTCTTCATCACCTGATGTAGCGTTCAGGTTGACGACGTTGAACCTAGTCATTGCCAACAAGTTGTTTACTGTCGGCGCACCAGCTACGGCGGCTGACGGCATACCTGCTAGGGTAGCTTGTGTCGCCTCTTGAAGAGTAACACTACCACCACTGTTTAGCATTTCTTGGTATACCTCCGAAGCTACCCTTGGATCCATTGCCGCCACTTGTGCGACTGCCTGTTCATGTCGTTGAACTGCGTCCAAACTATTAGGTATACTCGGAACAATGTCAAAGCCACTTCCGTACGAGTTCGGTGCGGTGTCGTCATCCATCGGGTCCATAGCTCTACCCTAGTTAGCCTACGGCTGATAACCTGTATTTTACAGGATCAGCTCTACTTCCCTAGCTAACCCTGACTAGCCGTTAAGCGTCCCTTTTGCTCTACCTTGAGAGTACACGCTACGGGGTCCATGGGGATGAGGTGAATTTCAACAGTATGGTTAAATGTTGCTTTAAACAAACATACTATATCATATTATGTTAAATGGATTTAAATGGTGAATAGGAATGCCACTCAAGCTTGACAAGATCATAGACCTGGACATTGGTTGTGTGAAGCTGGCGTCTCTAGAGCCCATCAAACAATACAATCGATGGCAAGGCTTGACATTTCCAGCAGGAGGCGGGAACCAAAAATTCACCCGCTCCAGCTGACATAAGGTACAGACTGCGGCGGATAACTACCAGGGTCCGTTTCTGGACCAGGTAGCCAGGAATTCTCATTAACATTGCTTTCCTTGGTCGCACCAGGCAGGCCAAATGTCTGATTCCACTGCTGCTGGCCCAGCAGCCTCGCAATCAAGGCCCCCGTGTGACCATGCTGTCATGCATCAACAAGTTCTGCGTCGCTGGGTACGCCAGGTATCTCTGAACCAGGAACTGCCTCGGCTCTGCGTTCTGACACATGATCTGAGCTCACAACAGTTGCTACCAAGCAACCCCAAAGTTTGCCAGCAACCATGCGCCAGTGTGAGACACCTAGGGCTCTTGGCGGCATGGGCGCCATAGCTGCCCATTGAAGTCCATCTTTCGTCCAGCTTCACTTCTCCCAAACCGAACCAGGTGGAAAATATTTGAAGCGCTTGGTCCACTTGTATGCGCTGCCACTGGTCACTGGGAAGACAATGTCATGGATCATGACTGAAAACAAAGCATGACGAGAAACCAACATAGCACGGAATTCATTGATCTATGGACCTCATATATAGGTGAGAAGATTGTTAGGTTGGAGGCCATTGCTTTTAGGTTAGTGGCTTGCAAAGCCCGCTAAAAATATCCGCCGACTCCGGCCTAGCCTGCGCCTAGGCGGGATCAAAGGTTGCAACTTGGGTACTTGCGGCCGTGGTTGCCACATGTTCCTACCACGGCATGCCCAGGCCATGCTGCCAATGCCTGGCACCTTTTTGGTCGATTTTTGCCGTGCAGAACTTGATGGGCTAAGGCGCTGGCAATGGTTTTTTTGGGTGACCACCTTTGGACTCAAGAAGGGATCAGCGGCACCAGGGCATCCATTCTATTCGGCGATGCCGTACTTGATATGTAGCCAGCAGCTAGCTTTAGCTATGGCGTGTTCCCGTGCCGCCGGCCCCACCACCCTCAGGGTTTTGGGAGGAAGAAACTCCGCTCATAAGCTGCGCTGTGTGCAGAGATCCATTTTGGAGCGCTTTTGGACGATGTTTGATCAGGTAGGCTATCAGTATCCAACGGTGACATGTTCACTCGTCAACAATTGCATGGTCACCACAATTTACGATGCTTTTACTACTTGAGTGTCGCCGCGTTTCTTGCGGTTTGCCGAGGTTGAAACACATCGGTATTTACAGTGTTTCTTGCTCGGGTTGTTCACAAAAACTGTGAAAACACCGTTAGAACAATGGTGGTTGGTTCCTAATGCCGAGAAAAGCATCAAAATACCATGGGCCATGGGCTTGGTTGCTGAGGTTGTAAAGGCATCGGTGTTTACAAGTGTTGTCTTGCTCCGACGGTTCAACAAAAATTGCGAAACCGCCGCCTATCAGTCTATCCGACTTGCGTCTTGGTGTCTATAAAGGAACTAAAACATGGACTGAAGAACATGTGGCATGATGGTGAAAAGCCTCGCGATGCTTTGAAGCACCATCGCATGAGAGCACGCGCAACAGAAACTTGAGACAGGGAAGCACGAAAGGTAAAGAGTCACCGGGAATATACGTGAAAGCCGCAGTATCTAAAACGCAACAGGGCTGTGTAGCAGCTGTTGTTTGTAAAGCTGCCTGGTACCAAAACTGTGCCGCGCAAATGCGGTGACATATGTCACATGCCACACATAAAGAGTGGCCGTCGCAATAAAAAGGTTGCTACAGTACAACATGTGGTGTGGCGCACGTGGAGGTTTGTTAACACTGGCTGTGTTGCGTCAACGCTTGTTCATGCTTGTTGTGTAGAGCAATATGGTGTGTGAACGTTGGTTTGCATAAATGTTGTGGCGTGTAAACGCTGGCAGCCGCTGGCATGTGTAAGAGCCGTGGTCGCGCTTTGTAAAGACCGCAGGTGCACATGGAAGGGGAGGGCCCTCACCACCCCCAGATCAATGATTAATCAATATGGAAGGGGGGAGGGGGGTCATAGAATTGATATGTCAATCGTTGCCTATCGTTGCTCCCGAGCAGGCTGTTCAAGCTAGCCCCTTTGCTTCGCAAAGCAACCTCAAAGTAGCCCTTACCAGCCTACCTTTCGTGGCAACAACCCTTATGGCATTGCCGGCGCGCGAAGCTCTACAGTTATCAGCCAGTCACTTGCTTGAAAGAGCCATGGCTTGGGAAGGATGGTAAGGATGGCAAACATGGAAAAACTGACAGTTGATTCAAATACCCTTGGATCCACGTCGCACTTTTGGTCCGACTATCGTTTCCCGAGGACTCTTAGCTGCCCACATGTTGGAAGAGCTGCTCTCCGGGCTGCAACGGTTTCAAAGCTGATGAGACCACCCTGGCTTTGTCCAGGACCGGCTATTGCCAACGCAAACCATGCAATGCAAGATCTCTGTCTGAGTCTTTTTGATTATATAGATTATATATATATGCCTGGAATCTGTTTGTCAAGATGTCCAAAACAAATGACTCGCATCATCTCACATCTACAATCTACAATCTACACCATGCACGTCATTGAAGAGCACCTCTCTCTGTGCACCTGTGCACTCAAATTATGCTTTTTGTTGGCTTCGCTTGTCTTTTGCCCTCTGTCTGCTATGGCGGAAGCGCCTTTAATGCGAACTTCTGCCCCCAGCTCAGCTGGGCAGTTTCAAGTTGGGAGGTTCACAAGTAGTAGACTGTAGACCTTTTTGTGTCCAGGTCCATCTCAAGCCATCTGTCGTTTTCGGCAGATGATGTGCCTCGCTTCTTGATGCAATACATTCTAGGCAATTCAACTCTCAAAGAACGGGTACCGTTACAGGGTGTAGTTAGCAGCTGCTGCTGGTGCTTCCTTCTGCGGATGAAGACCCTTCGGAGGTCCTGGCAAAGTGGAACTGCCTGGAAGAAGGCACTAGAACTGAAGGAAACTCCGCTTGGCCAGCCTGATGGCCTCCGGATCCTGGCAAGCCAGACTTTGCAGCTAGTAAATTCCCCTCGATGCAGCCCGCTCGACCTGCTTTCCGCCGCTTGAGGCCCCCGCATATCCTTTGGACTTGTCTTTCCGCTCTTTCTGCTTGTTCAACTGCTCTAAAACCACCAAAGTGGGTTTGGTGACCACCTCATGCACAAAAGAAACTCGAAAGAGACCAGAAATTGCACAACAAAGGCGCACCACGAGGGATAGAAGCCAGCTCACGACCTTGGCAAAAGCGGTTCACAACAGCAGGTCCGACACGCAAAGCGCCGAGCATGGCAGGATGCTCCTGCAGAGTACCCATGCAGCCTTTGGGCCCCTTCCATTCCCACATTGGCATTCTCCAAGGCACACAGCCAAGAACTGGGTGCCACAGCAACATCAGCTCACTCGAGAGCCTCAGCAAAACCAAGCGTGCTGGGAGCTGTCGACTGGGGAGGGTTCATGATGGAAAACTGACAACAACTTACACCTGGGGTGAGGTTTCTGTACAAGAAAAAAACGACATTGCAAAGGTTATGTCTTGGAGCCACCTGTTGCCTTCCTCCCAACACTGACTGGCCAGGTGTCATGGAATAGCCAGAGGCGGAGAGCATTCCAAGTGTCATTGGGCCCAAGCACCCCAAAGTTACATCCTGGAAATCAGAAAGGTATTTCCCATTCGCCGCAGATGTGCATGAGACGTTCTTCACAACTGTGCGAACTGTTCCCTGGTTGAACTGTACTCTGGCCAAGCTTCCTCGCCCTGGGACGTCCATATGACAACAAGGATCATTGTTGTCCTGGGTGCGTCAGGAATCGATTGTCCACGAAACAACTGCGCTGCACAGTCAGTTTACCTCCCCAGCTGAGCGACACGAGCGGCAAATTTGCCAGAATCCCAGCGAGTGCTGGCAAAGATCGTGCCACTGCGACTGCCCCAAAGAAAATGCCTCAGCCGCAGCTGATGCCCAGAATGGCCTGCATGGCTACTGGGTAACGCCAGCTGATATGGCCCCAAAGGAGCCTGTTGCAACAATAACTTTTCGTGCTGGGCGTTACAAGGCACACCGCGACCAAGCTGCAAAAGGTGACCAGCCCACGTGCCACCAAAATGGAAAAACTTGTACGGGGTTTTGGCCCACTCTTTGAGGTGCTTGGAGCCACACACACCAGCAGAATGCCGACGAGCAGCCTCACAGGTTGCCAAGAGAGAATCGATCAAATGGCACTTGAGTTTCGGCCAATAATGTCACGTCAGGATAAATAAACCCCTCTAGTCAATCCGAGCCCACAAAGCCCCCGGAAATTTCCCAAATTAAAAGTAGTCTTGGTGGTTGATTTCCCCCTAATGGCCTACTTGGCACCAGAACCCGGTTAACCCGAGCCCACAACCAGGTCAATTTGTCCTAGGACTACTACCACTACCACTACTACTACTGCTACTGCTACTGCTAGGCCACTATACTAATATACTACTACTACTACCACCACGATGACGACTACTACTACCACTACCACTACCACTACCACTACTACGACGACGACGACTACTACTACTGCTACTCCTACTCCTACTACTCCTACTACTACTACTACTACTACTACTACTACTACTACTACTACTACT